TGTTGATATCACAGACTAGGTAGTTGTTGGTAGATGACAAATTAAAACATATGTTGTTATCACAGACTAGGTAGTTGTTGGTAGATGAAAACTTAAAACATATGTTGATATCACAGACTAGGTAGTTGTTGGTAGATGAAAAATTAAAACATATGTTGATATCACAGACTAGGTAGTTGTTGGTAGATGAAAACTTAAAACATATGTTGATATCACAGACTAGGTAGTTGTTGGTAGATGAAAACTTAAAACATATGTTGATATCACAGACTAGGTAGTTGTTGGTAGATGACAAATTAAAACATATGTTGATATCACAGACTAGGTAGTTGTTGGTAGATGAAAACTTAAAACATATGTTGATATCACAGACTAGGTAGTTGTTGGTAGATGAAAACTTAAAACACATGTTGATATCACAGACTAGGCAGTTGTTGGTAGTTGAAAACTTAAAACACATGTTGATATCACAGACTAGGCAGTTGTTGGTAGTTGAAAACTTAACACATATGTTGATATCACAGACTAGGTAGTTGTTGGTAGATGACAAATTAATACATATGTTGATATCACAGACTAGGTAGTTGTTGGTAGATGACAAATTAAAACATATGTTGATATCACAGACTAGGTAGTTGTTGGTAGATGAAAACTTAAAACATATGTTGATATCACAGACTAGGTAGTTGTTGGTAGATGAAAACTTAAAACATATGTTGATATCAAAGACTAGGTAGTTGTTGGTAGATGAAAACTTAAAACATATGTTGATATCACAGACTAGGTAGTTGTTGGTAGATGACAAGTTAACACATATGTTGATATCACAGACTAGGTAGTTGTTGGTAGATGACAAGTTAACACATATGTTGATATCACAGACTAGGTAGTTGTTGGTAGATAAGTTAACACACATGTTGATATCACAGACTAGGTAGTTGTTGGTAGTTGAGATGACAAATTAAAACATATGTTGTTATCACAGAGTAGGTAGTTGTTGGTAGATGAAAAATTAAAACATATGTTGATATCACAGACTAGGTAGTTGTTGGTAGATGAAAAGTTAACGTCCGCTTCCAGCTAAAACTGATATCACAGATTAGGTATTTGCCAATCTTGGTTTTCCTGTGACCATAAATACGTAACCTTTTCCCATGATATATGCTACTCTGATGTATAATAATAATAAACCTGTCAGTGCAAACAAAAGACTTCAAGTTTTTGAGTACCTAAGGCGTTATCCTTGTATATCATGGATGTTTCTCTGTATTAGTTCCTGTTTAGCTCATAATTATTGTTGATCTCTAATTTGCTTGATGTTCCACCCTAGATTATTTGTCGATCTCTTTGTTTTGAGTTTTTGATGTTTCTAGCATCGTATCTGCTTGAAACAGACCTGAAACTATCCCTATGTTAAAACCAGATTTGAATAACCAGCTCTATGTATATTTACTGGGAGCTGCTGTGGCTCAGTGAGTTAGACGCTTGCAAGCGAAGGTTTCGGGTTTAATCCCGGCATAAGTTGAGATAATACCTTCAGATTTTCCAACCCCCCTGTCAGCGATGCAGGGAAGTATGGCTGTCATGGAAAAAGCGTGTAGTTGTTCGGATGGGACAATAAACGGAGACCCGTGTGCTGCAAACTGTGTACTGTGCTCAACAGTTGGAAATCAAAAAAGAGCAGGCTAATGCCACTTTCCTGGCAAAATTGCCCTCATTGCACCATTGTCTTCATTAGCCCATTGGTGCAGAAAAATAGGATGTAAAACTCCATTCATTTCATTTTCTGTATATTTGTATATTTGCTGACAAACTATAGTTGTGTAGAATATATTTATCTTTTATGATCTAATAAGATTCACTTTAGTGGAAATTTACTCTAGAAACATATGTTTTAGAAACTTACTTGGGTATTCCTGTCTAGATTGTTTATTTTGACTGCTATATCATCACGATTTATTTGACTTTTATTTGAAATAAAATGTATTATTGTCGAATTCCTGTGTAATTAGATAATACAAGATGTTTATCTCCAGAAATTAGCAGGTTTTTATTTTGACAGAATTTATTTCAATATGAGCAGTGATTATTGTTAATGAAAATGATTACTTGTGAATTATTTTTCAAGTTGTATCTGAAGGACTTTGGCCTCTAGGTGTACTTTTGATATTGCTGTTTCAAATTGGAGGAGGAGGTTGAAGACTACTTTGACTCACAGAAGCATATGCCATGGCATCAGTTTTCTTATGTTGAATATGATTTGAACCCACGGTACTGACACTCACTTTGTTATTTCAATGCCACTGAGTGTTCCAACATTGTATTTGAAGGTCTTTGGCCTCTAGGTGTACTTTTGGTTCTGACATTTCAAATTGGAGGAGGAGGTTGAAGGCTACTTTGACTCACAGAAGCACATGCCATGGCATCAGATTTCTTACGCTGAAGATTTGAACCCATAGCACTGATTCTACCAACTGAACTATTTAATTCAGTTGTCCTTTTAGTATTGCTATGTCAACAACAGACAATGTTCTTTTCATTATTAAAGTACTGATCGACTTTAAGATTTTTAACTCATCTTAAACTATTTAAGGTCATTTCTTTTATTTTCTCTGCAAGACCGTAGGAAGAGTAATTAAAATGTCTAGCCACTTTTCAAATTGAATTGATTTGATTTAACACAGAAGGGGAAATTTGGGTTTAGAGAGTCCTTAGGGACATCATACAGATGCCTGATAAGTTCACATTAAACAATATATTTTGATTTGGAATCATGATTCCTGAAAATGAAATGATCAGAAACTGATTTTATTTCAGGAACGAGTGTCTGACAATTTGTGCTGGAACTATGATAGAACCCAGTCCCCCCATGAAAACTGTCATGTTCCCTGCTCAGAAGACTGTGTCATGTCTGAATGGGGTGTTTGGTCCAAGTGTCCCGATCCATGTTCTGGTATCAATGGCCCGAACATCAGAGTTCGTGAACGGCATATATTAGCTTACAATAATCCAGGTATGTATTCTGGAAAATATGGTAATTGATTGTCTACTGGACACGTCAAGAGGGTGGTGTTGAGTTGAGGTACTTTTGATAGGAAATAGCGTAGGAGTGGGGGGGATACTTGATGGCTGATCATTGAAGGGTCGAACTGAATACTGGTGGCCATAGGTACAAGTTTGACTGCATTACAAAATTATTGAATCTTAAAAAATGCTGATTTCATGTTAAAAGTGTTCAAATGAAGAACACATTTTATCTGAAAACCCCAAACTCAATGTCTTGTAAGATTTGCTGAATCAAAAAATTTAGAATTTGGATTTGAATGCATAAGGTTGCAGAATCTTCCAATGAAATAAATTTATTCCCATATTTACTGTTAAATGTCTAATTTCATGTTTACATGTATTTTATCTTGATTCAAGGTGGCCGTCCATGTCCAAAAGATATTAAACAGAATGAACCTTGTCCAATAATCATTCAATGTGCTATTTATTATTGGAAGTCAAGTGGTTGGGGTCCATGTGTCTTAGATAATCCAAATCAAAAATGTGGCCGAGGTTTTCAACAACGAGAGGTGACTTGCTTTAACCAAAATGGACAGCCTGTTATTGGCAGAAGGTAGGTTTGCTTTTATTAAAAATTGATTTGATTAAGAGATAGAAGTGGCAGCATTTAGTTCTATTGCCTTTGTATTTGAAAACAAATTTTGAGAAACATGATTAATCTTGGTTGAATTGTGTGAAAATTCTGAATTCTAGTTTTTACATTACCAGATTGTTCTTTGATAAATGAAATTGTATTGAAAGTCTTTACACCATTAATGGCCTTAAACACATATCTTTAAACAAACAATCTGCAATTGTCTAGCAGTGCAAACATGAGAACAAGTACCAATTGTACTTCAATAGAGAACCAGGCTGAAGCAGATCAGTTGTCTGAAGATCTCTATTTGTCAAACATCAGTAGGGAAACAGACTGAAATTGATCAGGTGTCTGAAGATCGCTACTTATCAAGTTTAAGTAGGGACACAGACTGAAGTAGATCTCTACGTGGGACACAGGGTGATATAGATCAGTTGTCTGAAGATGTTTACTTGGGACACAGGCCAATATAGATCAGTTGTCTGAAGATGTCTACTTGGGACACAGTGCGATATAGATCAGTTGTCTGAAGATCTCTACTTGGGACACAGAGTGATATACATTAGTTGTCTGAAGATGTCTACTTGGGACACAGGCCAATATAGATCAGTTTTCTGAAGATGTCTACTTGGGACACAGGCCAATATAGATCAGTTGTCTGAAGATGTCTACTTGGGACACAGGGCGATATAGATAAGTTGTCTGAAGATCTCTACTTGGGACACAGGGTGATATACATCAGTTGTCTGAAGATGTCTACTTGGGACACAGGGCGATATAGATCAGTTGTCTGAAGATCTCTAATTGGGACACAGATTGCAAACTCACTGTGACAAAATTTGCAGGGTCTGTTTTTAATATTTCTAAATCAAAAGTATATTGATATATTGATATTTGAAGGTGTGAGGATGTGGTGCGGCCGAAAGACTCTCAGACCTGTAATATAGAATGTCCTAAAGATTGTACTGTATCAGAGTGGTCTCATTGGTCAGATTGTGGAGTGGAGTGTCTAGATGTCACAGGTGAGTTAATAATCTTCTCATACAACACAGATATTTTCAGTGTTTTGTAATTTGGTAAGAATATTGAAACTAACATGAGGCGAAATATTAGAAGCACTTACTGTGGAATCCAAATTTTTTCTCACAAGAACAGAAGGATTTGAACTCATAGCACAATCCGAGACAAAACAACTGAAGTATTCCACTGATTTATTTCAGCTCGCCAAATTTTACCCAAACAACGAAGAATTCGCTACATTCTACAATATCCTGAAAATAAAGGCAGTCCATGTCCGAACGATTTATTCGAGGAGCGTCAATGTTTACATCTACCATTATGTGATGAATTCAGATGGGATGTAACAGAATGGAGTAGCTGTATCATTCCACCTATTGTACCATTATGTGGTGCTGGCATGAGAGCAAGAAGTAAGTTATCCCCATATTGTACCATTATGTGGTGCTGTCGTATGGGCAAGAAGTAAGTAATCCCCATATTGTACCATTATGTGGTGCTGGCATGAGAGCAAGAAGTAAGTAATCCTCATATTGTATCATTATGTGGTGCTTGCATGAGAGCAAGAAGTAAGTAATCCCCATAGTGTACCATCATCTGGTGCTGGCATGAGGGCAAGAAGTAAGTATTAGTTTTCAGGCTAAAAATCTCATTTATGTCCCATAAACAAATAAACAACCTTATTTTATATTTGAACACCACTGGAGTGTTAAATTCTACTTGAAAACCTCAAAAGTAAATTTATATTTTCACTACAGCTGAGGCTACTATTCCAAAAGGTCAAACAGAATTCTCTGTTTTTAGGCCTGTTATTGTACCATAAGGTCCATACATTTAGGTACTCAAGCGCTCGTCCCTATTATATATTTGATTTGTTTCTTGCCACTGCCCTTCATCTTAAGCTCTGAAGGGAGCTTTAGCCTTTCTTCAAGTGAAATTTCAGAACATGAGAGATTGAAAGTTACTGTTCAATATAAGACGTTGGTACAGGGTTAAAGTATTGTTTATAACTATTATGATGTTAATATTAAGAGAATATGAGAGTTTAAGTAACATATCATTCCTGACATATGTAGGATTTAGTAATCTATGCTAATGCATTAAGTAAAATAGATAATAAAGTGAATAGTAATTCTAAGTAATTGCACACCATTAATGTAGGTTCTCAATTATTATAATGGGCAATAAATATTTTCACTGTTATAAAAGTGGTAGAGTGATATAGAAATACCACTGTTAGAATAGTGCTCAATACATCAATTGTAGAGTTATATAGAAATACCACTGTTAAAATAGTGCTCAATACATCAATTGTAAAGTGATATAGAAATACCACTGTTAAAATAGTGCTCAATACATCAACTGTAGAGCGATATAGAAATATCTATATATATGCTAATAATTGGAAATTGGCGTAAGATAGATTTCTTACTAGCTAAATACTGACACAAATGAGGTTGTATTTAAACTATAATTTGCATTTATATGTTAAGTGTGATGTATTGGAATTAATTTACAGACTCAAAATCAATCATTTCAATATCTTGCTGTAAACTAGGTTTTGGTAGTAATCCCCACCAAAAAGCCAATTAAATACATTATTTGTTTTTTTTTTAAAACATAAACTAGTACATCTTTTGCACCCAAATCAATAATGTTGATTGTATTGGCCATTTTATTTTAAAACTATTACCTTTAATGTCAGCCTCAAGTATTTTAATTCTAATGGCCTAATAAAGTACATCTTATGCCACCATGGTAGACAAACTGAAATAGTCTAATAATGAAAATTTATAGCTTGATGTTAACAATGTTTTGACAAGATAGTTTAATAATAGCACTGATTCTACTTTCTTCCAGATGTGTCTTGTCGTCATGCCAATGGTACCGAACATCCAATAGATACCTGTCTTAGAAATATAGGCGCCGTGCCAAAACAACTGGAAGGATGTCATGTGTCATGTGCCAAGGAATGTCAGATTTCTGATTGGTCAACTTGGAGTGTTTGTGTTGGAGGGTGTAATGGGTACAGTCATCGAACAAGGAAATTATTAGGTAACCTAATTATAGGATATGATATGATAATGGACTAGTTGGTAAAATGTCAACTGTGTAAAGTAGATTATTTATATTATGAGGCTCAGTATTACACTTACTGACTTGTTAATGTCTCTCTTAAACTGTAATAGCTTCTGTTAATTTAAATATTTTATCAGAAGGAATTCCAGCATGAGTCCTCAAGTAAAGGCCCTCAGACCTTAGATCACTCCTTTAGAAAAAAAAAAAGCTGAGCCCCTAATTCTAAGACCTTAAATTCCTTATCATATTAATTGCATCCTGATCCCTATGTTTAAGCCCTAAGAAATCTTTAAGCTAGTAAAAAATGCACTTTTAGCCTCAAAAGGTTGCAAGTCTAACTTTATTTCCTTTTGATTTTGTAAAATGCTATTTAAATTTAAATTTTGTACCCTGAATGACAAAAAAATCCAATGGCTTTACGAGTCAATTACTACTTTAAAACCTTCAGACAGAGGATCATTTTATTTCTAAATGTTAATTGCTATAGAAGTCCCAAATAAAGTCCAAAGAATTCATAGTGAAGGGTCCTAACTTTCATTTTGGCATTTCATAGGAAAAACTTCAGCACAAAAAAGGAATGCACCGTAAGTTTGTGTTGCAAATTGAAATGTAGATTCAACCCCTTAAATTGAACCTTGATAGGAGTTAAAACTCAATTTCATTCTCCATTTTTTTTAATTTTTAGGCGAGAGCAAATATAGAGCAGAATGTAAAAATACAGATTTATACTCGTTAGATCAGCGTAGAAAATGTTTATGTAATGTTTTACGTCCGGTGGTCATAGGAAGCTACTCCGACTGTATTTTAAATGGGCGTATTGACGAGAAGCCGATTCGGTTTGCCCAGATGTCATTAAAGAGTCTAGAAGAACGGGATACCAATAAAACAGCTTATGACAATGGCGTTGACCAGGCGTATTGTGGTACCGGTAAAAAATATAAAGTTGTGGCCTGTAGAAATGATCAACATGATTTAGAACAGGCTTCAAAATGTTCTCAAAGTGGTAAGTCAGCGTTTTTCAAATGCACTGGCTTTTTGCACCTCCATGATGCGTGTTCTCTTTGACTGCTTACAACTGTAGGCATAAGATAAAACGCAATAGGCACGCTAATTTTTGGGGATTTTTTTTAAGCGTGAAGCTATTTTGATTGTCCAGAATGATATTAAGTGACATTGTTATGGTAAGGTAGGGATGGTAGGGATCCTGTTTTCTTTATTGGAATAATGAGGAAAGATAAATAACTTGGCATTGATCTTTCCTGTATTATCTGTACCCATTTACAATGGGTCTACTGGAATAATGAAAAACATTGATAGTCACCAGACTGTTGACCATAACCAAAGAACACCATTTGTTCAATGAAAGCAAATGACATCAAGATTCCAACAATCTGACCAACTGAGCAACAGACCTTCCTCAACTTCATAGTTTTAGCAAAATTTGATTTAAATTGTAAGTTGTTGAATGATATCTATCTGAAGAAAAGTAGTTTTTACCTCTCATGGTTCTTTTTGGACTAATGAATGCATGCACTGGTGAAAATTGAATACCGTTATCTATGTTGCTTTGGTGTTTGATTAGATAATCAAGAAAATCGTTATTTCCAATTGTATTTTAGGTTATGAAGAAGATATATGTTTTGAAGCTTGTCCTATTGATTGTGTTATGACGGAATGGAGTGCCTGGTCTCACTGTGGTGTTACCTGTGGTTCCGGTATGCAGGTCCGATTCCGCAGCATAGCGACATACCCTGCTAATGACGGCAGAAAATGTCCCGCTTTAGATGGCGCTATGAAGGTATGAAAGTTACTCTTAAATATATTCAAGATTCGCAGATGTTTTGAATGACTAATAATTGACATTATCACTTAAAAAGCTACAATGTTTTTATGCTTAGATTGTCAAATACTTCTTAATAATCAGAGGAAACACCTTAACAGATTTTGTTATGATTTTGTAGGAAACTCAGAGTCGTGTGTGTACAGTGGACTGTAATCATTATGTATGGGTGGAAGATGAATGGGATTCTTGTATCCCCCAGGCTGGTGCTGGGTGTGGTCAGGGCCGTCAGATTCGCTTAGTCAGGTAAGAGGTTTAAACGTTTTCATTAATGAAACATAAATCCCTAAAACCAATTGTAAAAAGTTACATTGATTAATTTTGGTGCTTTACAGGCCACTCTATGTAAACCAAATAATTTGTGACCAGTGATGCAGTAGCTACTTTACATAGAGTTACCAAACTTTGTTCCTTCTTATATTTATTACAAGATTCAAGGAACAATTTGGTTGAATTTGCCATACTCATTGGATATTTCATGTAATTTGTAGATGTCAATCTATCAGTGAAAACAGCAATATAATAGGTTTTGTTGATGATATTTATTGCCGTGGTAAAGATCGGCCGTTAGAAAGACGTAGTTGCTATCTGTCTTGTCCAGGAGAATGTGTTCTTAGTGAATGGTTACCATGGAGTTCCTGTCAGCAGGTAAAACTCTTTGTGTTTGTCAAGACCAATTCTTAAATTTGCAGTCTTAATTTAACGGAAATGAATTTAGTAAAATGAGTTTTTATTGACATACACTTAATGCCACTCTGAGACTATGTTTGTCAATTCATGATGATCTTTGGAAGAGTCCACACATCTTGCATTGTTTATTTGCAATAAGTCACGAAGGCTTCAAGTTTTTTTTATTTTTAACCCTGAAAAGGTAGAATTTTGACCAGAAAAATTGAAACAATGGGTATCTTCATTTCTTGTATTTAGCCTTGCAATGGTCAGCAAACACAAAAGAGAGTACGAAAGAAGATGAGAGAATCATCAAAATATTATGCCAATGAGAAATGTGGTCAGCTTGTAGAGGAGAGAACCTGCTTAAAGGGAGATAACTGTATTGAGTATAGCTGGGAATTGTCTGACTGGTCAACATGTCTGGTTAACAGTGGCTATGAGACGTGCGGTGTGGGTCATAAAGAGAGATATTCTATTTGTAGAAATAGTCAACGTAAAATAGTTCCTAATTATATGTGTGAACAGGTTTGTAGATTTCTTATAGAAATGATATATTAAGCATGATTCTGCAATTTATGAATATGTTTTGTCATACTTTTTTCCAATTTTCAACATCCATTATATTAATTCTTAAATTAAAGACTTCTGGCTTGAACATCACATTTTTCCTGGAAATAAGGTGACTTCCTCTTCCCAACCCCTCACACACACACACACACACACACACTGAGGATGGGGTGGCACAAAAATAATTTGCTGTTCATCAAAATGGCACTGTCCCAGGGTTAAATTGTATAGATTAAAAGTTATATAATAAATCCTGCCTTTTTTCAGATCCTAGGAAAGATAAATGAACCTTTGGTAGCGTCGTGTGAGATACCATGTGATATAGATTGTCTGCTCTCTGATTGGTCAGATTGGAGTATCTGCAGTCAAACGTGCGGTCTAGGTAAGTTCCACACAGGTCTTGAATATTTTTTTTTTTTCATTCATTTGTAATTATTTAAGCAGTACCTTTTATTGGAAAATTTCTCTGTGTGTTTCTTAGGGTGGAGGGCCGACATGGAAAAGCGTCTAGTCATTCAAGTAGGACAATAACCTGAGATTTCATTCAACAGTTGGAAATTGCAAAAAGAGCGTGCCAATTTTCCCCTATGCACACTGCATAGCATTCATTTTCATTAGCAAAATAAGGTACAGACAATAGGAAGTGAAACTCTATTTCATTGTATTTAATTTAATACTGGCCGGTATGAATTACCACTTCATGTTTCTTTCCCATGTTCAGGTACATCAACAAGATACAGAACAATGATTCAGTCACCAATTGGTAATGGTAGAAAATGTCCAGATAAATTTAAACAAACTCGTCCTTGTTTTTTAACTGGGTGTTATTATTGGAAAGTTTCTGAATGGTCAACATGTATTAAAGAGGTAACTTCATTTGTAATTCAATTCATTTTGTTCTATACTATATAGTCAAACCCTTTTAAACAGCCAGCCAAATACATGGTCGCACGATTGGTGAGTTCTGCACCTTCGAGATTCAGGGGATCAATCAGAATTCAATAAACCAATTTGGAACAGGGTTTGGAACGGGTAACATGTGTGCTGAAATAGTAGGTGTAGACAGAGTTCAAAATGACAGATGGGAAAATTTTGAATGTGACATTTGCTTTGATTGAGGACAATCTTATCTACCTTTGACATCTGATTATGATTTTATCTATAGTTACCTCCCTTTTTTTGTGTATGCTCAAAAGGAGTCAGTATCTTAGCTTTGAGTTGAAATTAATTTTATGATCAAATCTGCATTTTCAATAATGATTTTGTATAGAATAAATTTTCCACTTTATTTCATTAATTTCTCATCAATTATATTTTGAATATCATGTATTTGTGTGTATGGTGGGCAGTTTTTTACCTTTTCTTCAGCTTGCCAAACTGGGAGTGACAAAAATATAAATTGATTATTGGAGAATTTACCTGAAATATTTTGTTTAATGAATCCTTTACCATTATTTTCATTTTGATATATATTATTTTGTAGAAAGGTGTTTGTGGTAGTAGTTATAGAAATAGAAACGTATCCTGTGTAGGTGATGATGGGCTACCAGTGAATTCTTCAAGATGTCCTCCAGATTTAGAGAAACTTGTTCTCAATGTAAGTTAGTTTTGTTCCTAGAAACTTTTGATTTTATGATATACCAGTACTTCCAGCTGGACATTATGGAGTGTAAATACAAAAATTCTGCACAGTCTTAAATCAATACAATGCAATTGGTCAGATCATTTGGAACAACAATTGGATTTGACACTATTTCCACTATATGAAATTATTGTCTCCCCTGACATCTGTGATGTTAATATTCATGCAGATATTATACAGATCATAGGCTCTAGAAGCAACGTTTTAATTACAGCAGTCAATGGTCTAATTTCTTTGATATGGTCTTTCTTGGAATTAATTTGTAGCTTCCTGTTTTATGTAGGCATACTCATTTGCCCTAATTTGGTTATTGTCTGACAGTAAATGATAGCGACACCCTAGAAAAATTACGAATAATAAGTCGACAAGCCTTTTCATTGAATCACCAATCAGACAAACATCTAACTCACTACTGACTTATCTATTCCACTGGAATATATGAGTATTTTTGATGATTTCAGACAAGAGAACCATGTAAAGTACCATGTCCTGGAGAATGTATGTTATCAGATTGGTCGTCATGGAGTCAATGTTTTATTAACTGTCAGGACTACAATAAAGGTAGGATTCTTACAACATTAGGAAGTGTACAATTCAGTAGACTGGGTGGTTTTGATCCTTGAGGTTTGGTTGGCAGCCAAAGAAGCCACGAAATTTTACTTTTCAACTCTTCAATTAAAAACATTTTGTTGTTCTGAAAATTTTGAACATGACCCACAAAGAATTTTGTTTTATATCTAAATATCTTTTAAAATGTATTTTACTGACATGTTTCTTGTGGCGAACTGGAGTTCAACCAGGCCATGCAGTCTTAAAAGTGAAAGTACTCCAAAACTGTTTTGAAAAATTATATGGTTAACTTGCTTATAGCCAAAGATAAACACAAACACTATTATGCTTTTTTATATTTAGGACATAGGAATGGTATACAATCGAGATCTCGAGCTATACTGGTTAATCCAACTCAAGATCAAGAGTCTTGTGATGATAATTTGTGGGAGGACATGTCCTGTGTGGCTGATAGATGTTTTACATTTGAATGGCACGTTGGGGCATGGATTGGTATGAAGAGAGATGTGGAATGTCGCAGATCAGATGGACTGATAGTGGAAGGTAAGGACATTACTTTAGGTAATATGGGGTGAAAGCTGATACTGGGTTGACTATCAGAAGCACTGGCACAGGCATTAAAATTGTCATACCTTGAAGAGGATTCAAAACCACGGCACCTAATGGCTTGGTTTGATAATATTTATGCATATTTGCAAAATCGATGATTATTCGTCAATAAATCCAAACATCACTGATATGATTACGACCAAATCAATGCTGAAAAAATTAGGACATATATATATATGTATACCCTAGCAGCCGGTAAAGCGCCTATTACCAAGGTGACGTCACACAAAGTCATATGCTTTAAGTTATATTACTTGAAGGTCAGTGTATATGACGTTTTATTTCATTTACACTCAGGGTTTAAAGGGTTAATTAGACTTTCAATGAAAAATAAAGGTCAAGATGTGTTACCATTAATACCAATAATAGATAGATGTTAATTGACCTAAAAAACTGTCCATAAATACACCTACATGTTCACGCACTAATTATCATATAGTCAGCATTATCAAGACTGATAAATCCAAAGAAAAGTTTAAAACACACTGAACAGTGTATGATTTAGGTTTTATGAATCCTTAGCAGTTGGAGGTAAAGCTAATTGTGACCTAGGCCATTGCTTCTATGACCAAATTTCGAGCAGAGAAGTAAGACATATGTAATCTTTTTATTCATTTTTCTCAATTAAACGCAAGTTAAGTAGAAAAAGTATAGGCCACGTATTCTCGAAACGATCTTAGTGCTAGGATATCCTAGGTTCTTATCTTCTAACATTGATTCAAGGACATCTTAGTGCTAAGATTATTTCGAAAATACAGGGCTTAAGCAAACGACAATTTTAGTTTGTATCAGAAAGTGACAAATTTGTTTCTTAAATTGTTCACATTCTCCTCAATATTGATGGTCCCCCATTTTGTAAAGGTGATGAGAAGAAGGGGTGCGCGCTATATTCACAATTATACAGTATCAGGTCAAGGTCATACAAAAACATTACTAACGTGATGGTTCAGAACAATCCTAGTATAGGTCGAAAGAATACCTTTCCAATTTTCAACGCGGTTGCCCTGGAGGTAGCTGACTTGGAAAAATGGGAGGGGACAACAAAACAAGACCGTGTGCTTGGTACAGTTGGAAAACAAAATGGAGTAGACTGATGCGGCTGACCTGACAAGATTTACTTCATCGCATTGCATTGCCCGTCTTCATTAGACCAATAGAAGAGTAGGACATAAAATTCCATTCATGTCATTTGTCAATGTCACTATGATAAAAGTTGAATGTATCCTCAATGGATCACTGTTGAGAAGTTATCAAGAGGTTATTACCACCTAATTATATATACAGTTCTAGTAAACTGAGCTAATATTTTTAATTACCCTAGATATGGAATAAATTTCTCATTATTTTTGTCTGTTTAGAAGCAAGTGTCACAGATCCTCTGGATTATAAAACAAACTAATATTTTTAATTACATGGACATGGAATAAATTTCTCATTATTTTTATTTGTCCATATCCACTGCATGTATCCTGAATGAAACGCTGTTAAGAAGTTCTCAAGCACCTATTCACCTGATTATATATACAGATCCTCGGGATGATAAACGAAACTAATATTTTTAATTACATGGACATGGAATAAATTTCTCATTATTTTTATTTTTCAATGACAATGACACTATGATAAATCTATATATCTACTGTAACATATATTCAGATATTTCATATTTTTCCTTTTTATGGTTTTTTGAAATATTATACTCTTACACCAGCTGCATTTAATTGGTTATTATTTCATATGTTAGACAAAAATCAATGGCATTCCTTCTAAATATAGTTATCTGTGAACAATACCTTATTCATTATGGTTTTTCGGGAATTTAAATTTATTTTCTTGTTTTTTGAATATTACACTCTTTCAACAGCTGCAATTAACTGCCAATTCTTTTATTATAGAGTCTAAATATTGAAAAAATCATAATATATTAATGTAGAAAAATCACAGAATATCTTGAAATGATGAGTTGTCATTTTAGAATTCAAATGAGGATATTTCTGGACACACATGGATTTGAAAGCCCAAATTTGGATGGTGGCTAAAAATTCCCATTTCTGAGACT